AAAAATTAAAATGGATAGGGATGTAGCTGAGAGGTAGAATGCTTGCCTAGCATGCCCAAGGCCTTGGATGCAATCCCCAGAGGAAGGAAAGAAGGGAGGAAGAGAGAGGAGGAGGAAGGAAAAATGTGTCCCTTCTCCTTCTAAGTTTATTAAAGTGTGATAAAGGTATTGATGACAAATCTAAGTGCGAATCCTAAATGGACCACTTAATCATGTGATCTTAGACAAGTTACTCAACTTCTCTATACCTCTGCCCTAAAAATGTGAATCATTTGAGGGGAGTTTGATGATTTAATGAGATAATTCGTATGAAGACAGCTTTCCACCTTCTCTGCATTTTCAACAACTCCAGAATCTTCTATTAACCTTAAAATGTTGGTTTTTCATTTTCTCTTCTCTGCATCCACTACATGACCAGATGAACACCACCACCAAAAAACCCTCTGTCTCATAATGCAATCAAAAGTTATTTTATTGTAACTATTATCTTGATCTCCTTTCCCAAGCCTCAGCCATTCCTTATCTCTAAAATGTTGCCATACTCAGGAGCTTAGAAAAATGATTTAGAGTCATTCTTTTAGATATTAATTTACATACCATAAAATTTACCCCTTTAAAATACGTATACAACTCAAGGTATGGAAATATCTATCACCAGTACTGACTCCAGAACATTTTTCATCTCCCAGATAGAAACCCAATAACTGAACAGACACCCACCCTCTCTCCTCCCAGTCTCCAGCACCCACTAATCTTTTTGTTTCTATGTATATGTCTATTCTGGAGATCTCCTATAAACGAACTCATATAAGACATTCTTTTTATGTCCAGTGCTACCACCCTATCATGAGGTACCAACATTCGTAGCTTGGACTCCTTCAACAGCCTCTCTTCACCCGCACTGAGACATCTGACACACAAAACATAAACTCAGTTGCTTCAAACCAGACAACTGGACTCCCATGATCAGATAAGTTCTGGATCCAAGTCTCCACACAACTCTTTCCTGCCTCATCTCTTAGCACCCTTTCTCACGCTCTTCACTCCAACCACACTGGCCACAATCCTCCCCATTACACCAAACACAACTGATCTCCTAGCGTTTGATCTGGCCTTGCTTCAGTTTGGAATGCTAGTGTGAATCATTTTTCTGTTCAAACACCACATGCTCATCTATGTTCTCCCACTTACCCACACTCTGGAATCATTTCAACAAGTCCATTTCCTTCACTCTCTTGATCAAAAATGGTAACATCTTTCCTCCTTACTTAGAAAAGGGTTATCACAATTTCCACCTCTGTGCTGAGCCTCTTTAAGAACAGAATGAAATCCAGAAAAGTAGAAAGACAAGTGCTCTCCTACTAAGATACACTTCCATTCATATGTAATTATCTATAAATAGTTTATCATGCCAGCAACTGACTTACATAATAATAACCCTAGAAATTTGTTTGTTTGTTTTTTCCCCAAGTGATTTGTCAAAAACTTTTCAACATATTAGAAAGATTTACATCAGGGCATTTCTAAGGCACTCAGACATCCTTAAACATTCTTTTCCATGTTTACAGGTTACAAGCTAACCATAAAAGCTAAGAAAGCTATAGTTTAAGCCTTCAAACTCTGTGAACACACCACACAATAAGACTGTTATTTAAATAAGAGACAATTTACAATTGGAAACTCAAGGCTGGAAATACAGTATCCAAAGTTCATATTCTACCTCAGGCAATTGTGGTCTCACATTACTTAAATGCTCTGAACTGTTTCCTCTTCTGTAAAATTGGGATTTTTGACCTTAGTTGTTACATGGATAAAAGATAACATATAAAAGCCATATATGGCATTTAAATGTTCAATAAACTGTAGCAATTACCATAAAAACCAACATCCCCTAGCCACTGAATGTAGTCACACAAAACTAGGTATTTAAACAAAATGTATTTTAAAAGCTGATGTATAAAACAAGTGAAGACTAAAAGGCAAACACTACATACACCCTAAAAATAAACAAACCATGTTAACTGCCTAAAAGAATGGTCTGAATCCTCTGTAGTGTAGAGTTGGCTGTGTGCTTCCCATAACAACCAACAAACAGGTTTGCAAAGTGGAGAGAGGGATGAAAGGGGTTAAACTCTTCAAAAAAAACATTCTTCAAACAGATTCAGCAGAGCACATTTCAAGCTCATTGAAGAGGAGCATGGAGAGAAGCTAAGCAGCAGCTCAAGTTCCCCTAGGAGTGACAGTGAACTTCAGAGATGCTTCCCACTTCAAGGAGGAATTCTTTGTGAGCACAAACATAATACTACTCTATAGTCACACATTCAGCACCTATTGAGTCAAACAGACAAGATGCAGTCTCTATAAACACATTAAAAGGAAGAAACCAAATAGGAAACATCAAAGCTTATATATTACACAGCAAGTGCACAAAAGTACAACAATAAAAACAGTAACAAGTTCCTCTCTTAGCCTCTTTAATCTTAGCCTCTCTAATTTAAAATATCCAAGTCGACCCGCCTACCTCCAGCACCAATACTTCCAAGTGCTCTAAGGAAAACACCAAACCCCCTTAACAGAATAAGTAAGGCCACCATAGCCTAATTTCTGCCTGCCTTTCCAGTATCAACTAGTCCAGTGATGGCAAACTTCTTAGAGATGAGTGCCCAAACTGCAACCCAAAACCCACTTATTTATGGCAAATTGCCAACACTGCAATTAAACCTGAATACTGAGGTTTTTGTTTAGAAAAAAACAACTCATATATTGACATTTTCTGTCTTAAAAGAAAAATAGCATGCATGTCATAGGTTAGCCACCACTGATCTAGTCTCTGTACCAGAGCTTCAGAAGGCTTCTCTTGAGTCTTCTAACCTACTTTTCCTCTGGCCATGGGCCCCTTGCATACATGTGCTGTTCTCTCACTTATAACACCATCATTTCTCATTGCCTAAAAAAAAAGGTCACTTGATCCTTCAAATCTTGTTGCAATTTTTACTTCCAAAGGAAAATACTCCCTTAACTTAGGTAGTATAGTATAATTAAAACTACTAGTTCTCTAGAGGTGTACTTCAACCAGTAGAGCAATTGGGTAGCACACATACTTCTCAGTGCGTCCCAGTACTACCAAAAAAAGAGCAATAAGAGCTACTTCTACAGTTCTAAATTCTAGGTCTGCCAAAGCTCTATAGTTTTGAATAAGTCACATAACACTTTGTGCCTTGATTTCCTCATATGTCAATGAGGATCATATGGCTATTGTGAGAACTGAATAAATTACATTTAAGTAAAGCACAAGAGTAGTTAGTTACCTAGGGCACAGAGCTCAAAATAGTCTTGACCAGGGCCAGGGATTTGTCTCAGTGGCACTGTGCCTGCTTAGCAAGTGCAAGGTCCTGAGTTTGATCCCCAAGTACCAAAAAAAAAAAAGTAGTCTTGACCTAGTCAAATCCCCCCACAGTACCAGCACCTCTTCCCATTAACATTTTACATTTATTTCTCTCTCACTACTAATAGACTAAAACATTGAAAAGAGCAGAAATCATGTTCATTCTGTAGAGCTATAACACAAGATACATTCAATAAAAATTTGTTAAGAATTAATAGCTAATAAGAAGCTGAGGCCCAACAAAGTGACCCAATATACAAAGTCTCACAAGTATGACTCCAAAGTACAGACTTTAGGCATACTGCCTCAGGTCTAAATTGTGCAGTGCACAGTACTGAGACCCGACCATCAGCTGTCGAAGGACAGCAGAAAACGCACTTGTGCCTGTCTCCATGGGCCACTCACTGCCTTACAACTGCTACTGATGTGATCAAAACAATGATTAAGAGACACCAAAACTACAAAGATAAAAGAACAAAAACTGACTTGGTATTCCAAAGCTGACAATAAACAAATATAGGTGCAGAATTACTTCTAGCTCTCACACTGCCCACCTGGGCTTCAGCTGCCTCCTCTTGGAGTCTGCAGATGTAGCTCAGTGGCAGACAAGCATTAGGCCTGGGTTCTGTCCCCGGCACCCTCCCAAAAAAGTTAAGATAAGATCATCTCAAAATATCTTCCCATTCTAAATTTCTTATTAAAATAGGTGAGGTAGTCCATGCTGCAAGATTTATAAGATTCCACACGAATGGGAAAACGAATGAGGTGGTCCAAGCTGCCTGTAGGTCAAGCTGCCAACGTGACACCTAATAGAACGTTGACCTGAACAGTGGTGAAATGTGTTTCAAATCAGGCTAACCACAGTACAGAAACGAAAAATAAATTCACAGGATGAATTTCTCACATAGTACACTAGGAAGTCATACAATCTAAGCCGGCTTTCAACTCATACGTAAAATCTACCACAGATTCTGACATCAAATAACACTTTAAGATAAACTTATAACATGGCCGGGGATTTAGCTCAGTGGTTCTGTCGCTGTCCTCGCAAGAGAAAGGTCCTGAGTTTGATCCCTAGTACCAAAAAAAAGATAAACTCATAACCCTAACTCTACTTGAATAGTTATTCACAGCGTCCCTTCAAAGCTGGGAAGGGTCAAGAAAATACAGTAACTGTTAGGGTTCTAAAACACATCTTGGAATGCCTAAAAGGAAGTACAGTACCACAAGGCACTACAATCTAGCCACGGGCAGTGCACGGGTGCTGAGGCACGACCATCAGCTAGCTGTTGAAGGACAGCAGAAAACGCACGTGTGCTTGTCTCCATGGGCCACTCTCTGCCTTAGGCCACTGCCCTCCAGGATCTGCGGGAATAACTGCGGGGGCAAGGAGGGATATAGTCCCAACTCTCTCAGGCACAGATTCCCGGATGGAGAATAAGAGAGCAAGGAAAGCACCCTGCGGCCGAGTTCAAGCCAGGGGGACAGGCAAGAGGGGCCGCGACTGTCGCACCGAGCAGCGAGACTCGGCCGGTGCCTTCTGCCAGGGGCGGCGGAGAGGGGCTGGCTGGAAGCCCACTGAAGTCCTGGCCCGGGGAGCCCCAGCGCTCCTCACCTTCAGGGTCCACAGCGCGGCAGTCCGCATCAGCTGCTGCGGAGGCTGCCGCCCGCGCCGTCCTGCAGCGACCAACGCTACTGTCCCAGCCCAGAGCCCCGCCATTGTCGCCCTGGTCCACTGGCTCTGCGTTGACCTCTCACCCCGCAGAAGGGGTGGAGAAGGGGAGCGCATGTGCTCCAGCCAATCATGAGCTAGGGACCTCACGCCCCGCCCCCTGCCACGCGGGGCGGGGAAGGAGGTGGTCTGACAGAACTGTGTGGGCCACTCAGCGGCTCTGCGGAGATTAGGGCGCTAGGACCCAGAAGGAGGAAACGGGCGGTGCGCAGTGCCGGGGGCCTAGAGGCCAAGGTCCCAAACCGACCCCAGAGGGGAAAGGCAGCAGGACCGGCTAGAGTTAGGGCAACCGCCCTAGGAAGACTCGGTACTAGCCCAGCTGCCACTTAGCAACCAAACTGCAGCCCTAATGAACACATCAGATGAAGCTCTTAACTCTTTTGCCTCTTCTAGAGTCACCTACAAAGCCAGGAGTGACTTACATGAAGTTATAGCATGGTACATACCAAAAGAGGTGTAAACAAAATGAGGATAACTGAGAAGTGACATTTAATGGAATTTTAAAATATATGTAGAAACAAATGACAAAATGGAAAGGATTATAGTTTTCACAGATTTCTCAATTTTGTACCTAAGGCTGAATTCATTTCCTATCTAGGAAAACTGCTTTTCTTTGTCATTCTTTTTCACCTGCCCCATTTTTTACTCTTTGGTTGGTTCTCTTTTGGTCCTATTTTTCTTATTGATTTTTCTTTCATAAAAGGTATACCTATCTCAAAATACCTATCTCAAAGGATACCTATCTCACAATCTCTATTCTTCACTTGTTCCTTTAACGAGAGAACTTCTGAGATATAACTGGAAATGGCTACCCACCTAAAAAGTGAATGGGCAGCCTCCCTCCCTTACCACAAGATATGCCGTCTAACTAGGGATGTGAAGACTGTGCCATTAAAAAGGATGGGGTGTCCCAACCCCCATTCTCTTTTTCCTAAAGATTTGTTGGTGGGTGCTGGAGAAGCCCTGTTAACCCACAAGATAGAAGCCCCATGAAGAACACAATAAAATCTCCACTTTCAATATTAATATCCCTAGGCCAGGGATTTAGCTCAGTGGTTCTGCTGCCTGCCTGGCAAGCACAAGGTCCCAAATTCGACCTCTGGTACAAAAAAAAAAAATAATATTTCTATTACTAAAATAACCTGTAATTCTAATGCAGTGTTTTCAAGGGAGTAGAAGTGACACTTTGAAAGTTACGTCGTGTGTGAGCTGTGTCTCAGTGAGGGATGATTGCTATCTCCAAATCATACTTCCTGTTAACAGTGTCTTAAAATAATTGTTCCATGTATTTTGTCTAATTTTCTATTTATTCATAGCGGGAGAGGTAGTCTGGGACCAGTTACCCCACAATGGCCAGAACTACTTCTACCATGCCTCAATGTTTTGAAAGAGTGTTACCTCTTGTTCCTGCTTCAAGGTTGCTCTTGAGAAGTCAAATGTCAGCTTTCTTCATCTTTTGTCTCTTACTAGTTACGCTGTTTCTACTCTACTGTTGTTCATTGGTTATAGAGCAGAGGGGACGGTAAATTATGGAATCATGAACAGCAGTATCCAGCAGTATCCAGCAGTATCCAGTGTCCAGCAAGGTTTTGTTCCATCTGGAGACCTGAACCTTGTGGCTCTCTCTGAGTGGAGGTAAGTGCAGATTAGATGTGCTGAACTGGAAACCATTACCTTCTCTTTATGGCTCCAGGCTACAGTTATCCAAAAGAGGATCTATAAGAGATTTTAGAAGCCTGCTGCAAAATATGTAACAAAGTTTCCTGAAAGATCTCAGCTTGTCCTCAGTCTCCACTCTGTTTTGCAACCTTGATCCACCACTAGATGCTTCAGTACACAGCTATGCTGAGGCAACTATTTCTCAACCACCCCTTTGTAAGATGCTTTCTAACACTCCCATTTGGTAGCCAGACATACTTGGCTTCCCCCTATCAGTCAGACTCCAGATTTGCACTTCTGCCAATGCTTTAGGCAACCATTTTAATTCCTCTTTTTCTGGTCCTCTGAAAAGAGTCCATGGCAGAGTTTTTAACGATTATGACTCCCTGATTCTGAAAGTGACACTAATTCCTATTGACCCAAAATGCCCTTTTGTTCCATCAGTTAAAGTAACCCTTTACATAAGCGGGGTAATTAGTAGAGTTATGACCTAAGTCTATCCCAAAGTCAATCCACTATATTTCTGAGTCAATGATTGCTCAATTCCAGAATGCTTAGTGGGAAAGTACATACTCCTTAACATATCCACATTCTATGGACATTATAATGGCTTTATTTCCTGACCGATATACTACATAAGGAAGGAAGGGGTTGTGCCTCCCTATTTGGCAGATGAAAAGATAGTCAGTGGCAGATTCCTAGTTGTCCCTAATATCCATCCTCCTCTCATTTCCTAATAAAGGAACATTCACACTTTAGCTGGGAATATGTTCCACATGTGGAATCTACATTTCCCACCTTCCACTGGACAGGTTACTAGGTTTTAGCCACAGGAATATAAGCAGAAGTGACATGGGCAACTTTTGTATGATGTTCTATTTATTCATAGCGGGAGAGGGAAGGGAAGGGAAGGGACAGGATTTCCACTTTCTCCTTTCTATCTTTTCAGAACATAAACACCATGATGGGGGTGAAATTGCAGTCTGAATTGATAAGGGAGGAAGTCAAACAGGTGGTGAGGAAGACCATATACAAGGAGGCTTTAGGTACCTGATCTTGTGAAACTGCCATATCATAGTTCCATCTAGCCTGAAATTTTGGCTTAGGTTTTTCCGCCAAGAAAGAAAAAACACTGTATCTTTTGTTTGTTAATTTTGCAGTGGTGTGGAACTAAACTCAGAGCCTTGCAAATGCTAGGCAAATGACCTTCCACTGAGCTACACCTCCTAGCCCAACACTGTATCTTGTCTGGGTTTCAGTGTTTTATTTTTGGCATTTGTCATTGCAGCCAAATCTGTATCCGAATTAATAAAGCACTACTTACTACGGGGCCAGGGATTTAGCTCAGTGGTTCCGCCGCCTGCCTCGCAAGCACAAAGTTCAAAGTTCAACCCCCATACCAAAATAAATAAATAAATAAATATATAAATAAAGCACTACTATGTATCTTTGCTCTATCCATTTCTGGTCCTCCATTTTTAGAAATATACCAAAGGAAACTGGATGTGTCAGGGACTTGCTCCCCAAACCTACTCACTTATCTGAGTGAATTCTTCTAAGCAACATTTTGCTTCCTAGCTTCATAATCAAGTAGATGTGGTAATACTCCCGAGTCCTGGAGGCTGGGATGCATGACAGTATGAAATACAGTGCCTGGTAGGTGGCTTATAAAATCCCCAAAGCAATCCTCCACCCCTCACTTTGGCATCTCAGCTACAGAAACTCCTTGATACAGCAGCCCTGGTTTTTGAAGAGTGGCAAAGGAGAGCACTTTCTCATACTGAACTGTGACATGAGCAAAAAATAAACCTTTTATTTTCTTAGACCATTAGGATTTGAGGACTGCATACTCTTTCTAGCCCAATGCAAAATTAATAAAAAGGAATGAAATATGCTAAAGCAGACTATCACATACATTAGAAGGAAGAAAAGTAATACTTAAGATCAAAGTAGACCTTTTTATTCCTGAATAAGATGATGAAGAATACATGACATTAAATTATATCATCCTTAAACTTTGACAGTGAAGAACTCCTTCAACTCAAGATGCGACTTTTTTGTTTGTTTTGGTATCAGGGATCGAACTCTGGTCCTTGTGCTTGCAAGGCAGGCAGCAGAACCACTGAGCTAAATCCCCAGCCCAAGATGTGACTTTTTTCACTATTAATATAGCTAAATTAGACTGCCGGTTTAAAACTGAAAAAAATACTGTACACATGGTTTGGTTTGGTTTGGTTTTTCTGAGATGAAACATTTCCTCCACCAAGTGTCCCCTTTGATGTCCTGCATCAACACAGATCCAAAACGAACAGAGGCCAAGTGACCAGGGACTGAAACAACTGAAACATAATGATACAGATGTTAAGAGTTTGAGCTTTGGAGTAAGAACCAGTGATGACCTTGATCTACTGTCTGTGTAGCCTTAGGCAAATTCCTTCACCACCACAGAACTCACTTGTGTAGGTACAGTGCGAACTGCTTGTGATAACTATGAACATTGCAGGTATGATCTACAACTGTTCTTCACAAGGGTGAATGAACTCTGAGATATCCATAAATGAAATCCAAGATGTGGAAAGAAGCAATCTGTGGGCATGGAACGAGATCAAAGCATACTGCTAATCACTGATTGCATAATTATGGGCATAACTCTTGAAGACACAGACATAGGGAAGGACTTTTTGAACAGAACCCACGATGCAAAAGAAATAACAGTAAGAGTGAACAAATGGGCTCACATCAAGTTAAAGAGCTTCTGAAATGAACAGATACTTCTCAGAAGTACAGATGGGCCTACAAATACATGAAATAATGTTTAACATCTCTGACCATTCCAGAAACTTAAATTAAGACAACAGTGAGATTTCACCTTATTCCATCATCAAGAAATCAAATAACAAGGCCGGGGATTTAGCTCAGTGGTTCTGCTGCCTGCCTCACAAGCGCAAGGTCCCAAGTTCAATCCCCTGTACCAAAAAAACAAACAAATAAATCAAATAACAAATGCTGGCAAGGCTGGAGGGGAAAGAACCCTTCTACATTGTAGGTGGGAGTATAGAGTAGTTCAACCACTATGGAAATCAGTGTGGAGATTCCTCAAAAAACTAAAAGTAGAAAGCCCATTAAATCCAATAGTTCTTCTTCTAGCTTTCTTCCCAAAAGAGTTAAAAAAAATATTAAAGTGATATGTGCATACCTATGTTTATAGCAGCACAACTAATAATAGCTAATTCTTGGAAATTGCCTATATATCCATCAACAGATGAATGGATAAAGAAAATATGGTGTCTTTACATAAAAGAGAACTACTCCACCATATAGAAGGATACATTTGGACGGCTGTAATCCCAGCATTTGGACGGCTGAGGCAGGAGGATCACTGTGAGCTCGAGGTCGGCCTTGGCTACATAGTGAGACCCTGTTTCAGAAAACAAAAGCAAGCAATAAACGAGTCATTTGTAGGAAAATGAATGCATCTGAAGACCACTAACGTGGTCTCCTAATGATGTTAGGTGACATCAGAAACATAAGCTTCAATACTGCATGGTTTCTCTTACATAAAAAACCCTAAATAAAAATAAAGACCAAAATAAAAGATAGATAAAAGGAAGTAGGGAGACAGATATTCTGAAAATTAGAAGAAGACCAAGAGATGGAAGGAGGGAGAAGAGGGGGGAGGAAGAGGATGAAAAATAAGGATATGTTATGAACATGAACCAATTCATAATCATTATGTACTGCAAACATGTACTAATAAAAACTGAAAAAATTCAAGCCACAATCGTAGCACTGTGCCCAATAGCTAAACTATGGAATCGGCTGAGTTGCCTGTTAACAGATGATGAGATAAAGAACATATGCTGTACATACACAATGGAGTATTATTAAGCCATAAGGAAGAATGAAGTCATGTCATCTGCAGGAAAATGGATGGGACTGGAGGAGATCATGGTAAGCAAATTAAGTCAGACATAAATACAAATAGATGTTTTCTCCCATATGTGGAAATGAAAAGATGATCTGTAAGTAGAAGAGGGACTATAAGAGAATGGAAAGGGAACTTGGAGAGGGGAGAGGAGGGCAAAGGGGAAATGAGAGGTTGGATGTGATCAAGACATGATATATGTATGGATGGAAACGTCACTGTGAAATACATTAATTTGTACAATTAACATGTGTTAATAATTTTTTAAATTCAAGCAATAAAACATAACATATACATTAACATCTTCAAGAAGAGGACAAATAGTATATTTTAGACCTTGGAGGACACAAAGTCTCCATTGCAACTATTCACTTCTGGTTTTGTAGCCTAAAAAACAGCCAGTGAGTACGTGTGCCTGTGTTCCATTAAAACTGTACAAAAATATTCAAGCAGACTAGGTTTTGGCTATGGATTGTAATGTAGTTTGTTGACCTCTACCTTAAATAATCATAATGCACATTATGAAAATTAATAATTCTACAATACCATCTGTCTTAGTTATTTTCTCTTCACTGAGACAAAATACCCAGCACACACAAGTTAAAAGAGGAAAGGTTTGTTTCAGCTCACAGTTTGTAGAAAGAAACAGTCCACGACAAGGCAGGCAGAAGATAGCAGCAGCAGCAAGCAGTGACAGCAGCCTGACTTCCTTCTCTCCCTTTATGCTCCACAAAGACTATAAGCCTATTGACTGGTCCCATTCACACTCAGAGTGGAGCTTCCATTACTCAGAACTATGCTAATTCCACTTGGTGGGCTAATTTAGTACGATACATCTTTAATCCCAGTATCACACACCCTAGATTCAGCCAGCTATGAAAAGCCCCACCTATGAGCTAATGAGGCTTTGGGGGAACATCTAGATACAAGCCATAACATTCTGTCCCAGCCCATAATAGACTCATGCACATCCCTTATGCAAAAGCCATTTAGTCCATCTCCATGAATTGCCAAAGTCCTAACAGTTTCATCATTCCTGCAAAGTCCAGGTCTAAAGTCTCCTCTGAGATTTAAAGCAACTCAGCTGTGAGCCCCTGTACTAATGTAAAGAAAGTCAAATGCTTCTAAAATACAAAGGCACAAAATAAACATTTCCATTTCAAACAGTACAAATAGGAGGACAAAAAGGAATGGAACCAAGCAAGACCAAAGTCTCATAGCTTCATGTGCAGCATCTGGGATAATCTGTGGCAACATGTGAACTCCAAAGGAACTAGGTGTCTCTGCCCCTAATAGCTCTATAGGCGGTTGCAGCCCTCATAGCTTCTCTCTTGGGCAAGCTTTGCTCACTCCTTGCAGCTTTCCTCAGACAATCCACATTTCTAACTTCTCCAAACTTCTGGGGTCTCCACTGTACTTTCAGCTTCACACTCACAGCTTCAAACACTGCCCTCTCAGGAGCACACTGCCTGGGCTCCCAGACCTTCTTCTGAAATCCGGGTGGAAGCCTTCCTGACCCTACAACTCTTGCATTCTGTATATGCCCAAAACCAGCACCACAAGGTCTGCTGCAAGCTGGAGCAGCAGCCAGACTTCCTTCTGTCTTGGCAGTAAGGGCTGAGTGCCTGGATTGCTGAGCACTGTGAACCAAATCCTGAGGAAAAAGTTGCCTGGAGCAGGCTGGGGATTTAGCTCAGTGGCACTGTGCCTGTTTCTCACGCACAAGTCTGATCCCCAGTACTGGGGGGAAAAAAAAAACAACTTCCCTAGACCATCACTATTCTAGAACAAGGTGCTCTGAGCTTTCTTCTCAAAGCAAAGCCTTTTACCTTGGCAATTTTGAGGCTGCAAAGGGTGGAGTCCTGAAAGTTCTTTTGATGCCCTCAGGCCATCTTTTATTGTCCTCTTCTGAAATACATGGCTTTTTATTTCTAATCTTTTTAGCAACCAAGTTCTCTTCTACCATGAATGAGCCTGAAGATGGCCTTTCACCTAATCTCTACTCCCTTCTTCCTCCATAGATTAGAGAGTCAAACAGACATGGCTAAGATTGTACATCCTGGATGGTGCAACCCCAGGAGACAGTTACATTAGGTGTCCTTGTTCCTTTTCTGCACATGCCCCAAGCACTAGACAATCACATTCAGCCATGTGGGTCAAATGGCACTAATTACCCCACCTTCCTACACTATAAATAAAGAGCTTACTGGAGACCAGGTGGCCATTAGCTCATCAGGCCATCA